TGTTTTTGTTGCAATTCTGATGGTTTGGTTTATTAGCAGCCCACCTCTCCCGCTAAGGTTTGCTGGTTGTTTCTCCTCTCTATTTCTCCTTTTGGTGCCTCATATGTGTTCCAGGTTTTAGGCAGTGCCTGCATCAGTGACTCTGGCAGTGGCTCACTTTTACCATGAGCGTACGAAAGCGAGCAAGGAGTTGTTCTCTTGTTCACGCTCTGAAGACTTGGGGATGCCTCGTATGTCAGCGCTTATCAAATAGCAGGAGATGTGAAGTTGCTAATTGTGCCTTTGAGAAAGATATCAGAAACTGTCAGAGACTGATGTGAGCAGAGGGACACAAAGATATTTGTAATTCTTAGAGAAAGTTACAGTAGGCATCACCAGGCTGGGGTTTGCATCTGATCCAGCAGACAGGAAAAGCCAGAAGGGAGTGTTAATGTACGTGTGTTTGTAAATGCATGCGTAGCTTTGAACCAGCCCCTGGGTTTGGGAGGGTTTGTCCTGTTAGGTGTGGAGCAAGCATGTCTGACTCCTTGTATTTTGCTTGGACACCTGGCTGGGAATAGATGTTGCCCCTGAGCGTGAAGGAATGGCCAACTTCAGCCACAGAGGATGGAGGAGTGGGAATTCGGCTGTAGGGTGTTGCATTTAGCAAAACTTACTTTCCTCCCTTTTTTTGTGAACTTCCTTGCATTTCTGATGCTTATTCCCTCTGGAGCTGACCCACCTCTGCAGTGAGGTGCAGAATAGCTGCTTTGTGCTTTCCTGTGGGCACGGAGGTGCGGGAGGATGGGCAGTGGGAGCTGGCACAGCAGCTTCACTGCGCTGTCACTCGGGGGCCTCGTGGAAGGATTTTCCTTACAGGGCCTCTGCAAATATGTTGGAGATGGGCCCTGAGCCTTTGGCTGGGGCTGAGCTTTTCCACAGAAGACTGCAGTAACACTAGTCATTGATCCAGAGACGTGCAGCCTGGGATTTTGGGGGTACAGAAACTCCCTTCTCGTAAACTGAGTGAGAGGTGTTTTGCTTTTTGTTCCAATAAAGCAGCTGTATGTTAGTGAAAACGGGGGTTGCAATAGTATCCAATTTTTCCTCTCTTCCCAGGCTGTGAGCTGCTCCCTTTGCTGCAGTGTGGCAGGCAGGGTTCTCACTGTGAAGTGATGGAGTCTCTTCAGCAGGAGGCTGGACTAGAGGGAGTCCTTCTGACCTGAGTTTTGTATGATCCTGACCCTGGGGATGGTACTTGTAGCTCTAGATTGCACTGCAGGCTGTCTGTAGGGTGTTAGCTAGAAGGGTTACAGTGAAAATACAGCTGAAGCTGTAACTGAGCCTTTATTTGCTGTGTAAATGCATCCAAAGCCAGAAGCTCATAGTTGTTTTTTACTTCATGGTTTTTCTGATATAGTGGTTAGAGTTCCCATTTCTTTGTGGAGTAGGAAAATGGGGGGTTTATTAATCGCTTTGGCTAATACATCCTCAAATTTCACCTCCTTCAGATGTGTGAGTTTGCCTCATGCTCCAGTACAGCACCCTCCTGTACTGCCCTTACCCTGCCCTGTCTTCACTGCTCTTTGCTCTTTTTGCCTTTTATTTTATTCCAGACATGTTTCTGGTCCCTTTCTCTCCTCCCTGTGACCTTTATTTTCCCTTTCCTTACTAATCCTGTGGCATTCTCCTGCCCCAGAACATCTTAGCCAGTGCAGCTGCTGTGAGTGAAATACCAGCACGTGGCTTTGGTCACAGGGATTGCCCCGGGCGAAGGGCTTGCCAGCAGATTCCCACTGGGAGTCAAAAGGTAGTACCAGCTCAGCAGTGAGCAACTTCCAGAATGTGCAGCTCTGTTTTCCTGAAGTATTAAGTTGGTAGGTTTTGCCCAGGTCTTTGAAATGAACCCATTTTGAAGGAGATTTTGGCTGAACCGTTTATGGTGCATAGCATGGAAACCTTTTGGGACCATTTCAGCTGTGCAGTTCCTGGGTCTGGGCCACTCTAAAGCTTTGGTTTATTAGAACTGTAAAAGGACCTGAGAGTTTGCATTGTACGTGTGATTTTCCAGTTCTAGTGCTCAGGACAATAAAAGTACTTTTGGAAAACGTTCATGTTTTCTTTATTTTTTTGCATTTGCTAACAGCTTTCCTGTCTAGCTACTTGTCCTCAAAATTATTTTCTCCACTGGACTGTGCAAAAGTGCCTTGGAAATTTTTTTTTTTTTTTAAGTATCTAAGAAAACAAGGAAAATCCATTTTTTAAGAGAAATCTAAAACTTTGCCAACCACAATGCTATTAAATACCACTTTTCAACTTCCATACTCTTAGAAAGGTCTCGCCAAGTTGTGGAATAAATGCCCATTTGTAACTCTCTGAAATACACTGTTTAGTTTAACCTAGAGTTTGTACATCTGTCCTGTACATAGCCTCTGAAGGAACATCTCAGTGCCTGTTGCAGTGTGCTCCAGCTTCCTTTAGTGCCACAGATTGTACTGGTTTCTGTGGGTTGGACTGTATAGCTTGTGGTGTTTTTCAGCATCAGTGAATATGACTCTCTAACAGACCTCTGTGTATTGTTGGGAAAAAACATTCCTTCTCTATCCATTTTTATATGACTGGAAGGCACTGTAGGTTCACTCGAGCTACATCACTCAGAATTTCTTTGCTGGTGTGAAAAGTGCAAATGCACATCCTGCAATTCATTCCTTCTTGCTCAGCAGAATGATTCTATTAAGCTTATTATGATAGAAAAGAAAGTCTTTAGTAGGAGCTGTAAATTTCCTGGGTCCTCTGAGTTGCTTTTATTGTTTAATTTAATAACTTAATGATGACTTAGCCCCAGTCCTGGGGATGTTTGCTCAGCAGGTGAGCTCTGTGCTCTCACAACACCAGCAGGCAGCGAGCAGAGCCTTGTGCTTGGTGTTCCTTGTGGATTGCAGGGCATGAATGGGAACAGGGAAATAACTCACTGCAGTGCTAGAGGGGCCAGAATATCTGGGAAAACGGGCCTTTTTAGCCCTTGGTTAATGAGCTCTTTCACAACAATCTGCTTTTTTTTTTTGGGCTACAAACGTCTTAATTATTTGACTTCCATGGATGGGGTCTTGAGGTTCAGTTGTGCTGAAAACAAGTAGATGTGAAATGATGAATGGAGTCTGCACTGTTGCTGTTGGTGACCAAAGACTGTAGAAAATGCAGATCATCGGTGTCAAGTGATACATTTCTCTTACAACCAATTTAGTTGCAGTGATCTAAACCTAAAATTGTCACTTCTGCTGATGATCATAGAGTCAAAATGTGTTTGATCAGTAAGGCTGTGTTGTATCCTGATATCTCCAGTGTAACCCTGTGGCAAATACTCACTGCATTAATAAAGCTGTAAAATAACACTGAAACCTGAAAAACTCACAGTACTGTTCTGGCTCTGTTTGTTCACGTGTTTTTGGGTTAGAGAGGAAAACCCAGTGAAGCTGATTTTCTTTTTGGAGCTTTCAGAATTGCAGCTCTTTTCAAACTCTGCAGGAATACCTTGGGTGTTTGGGTTTTTTTTTTCATAAGCTATACAAATTTTTACAGGACTTAGAAACCTTTACCAGAAGCTCATTTTTGCAGAATTTGAACCTCTGGCCTGGTGTGATGCTGTAGGATTTCATGTGTGTTTTTGTCCAGAGAAAGTCATGAAGCATAATAAGTCAGTACTGTAGTAATTAATATTAATTTTCAACTGTTCCACAGCTGTTTCTTGTTAAGTGTGTGGTGAAAGCTGTGTGCTTGGCACATCTCAAAAGTCCATTTCCCACAGTCCCTGCCCAGAGCACTTTTCCACGTTCTTGCTTCCCCAGAGGCTAAGGAGTTACACCAAAGTGTTTGGAGCTGTTCACAAGTCTGATTTTGGCCTCATCACTTACGAGAACGATATTTTGGATACTTGATACTGAGATAAAATTGTGCCTGACTTCTAACTTTTACTGTGAAAAAGGGTTTGCAGCAATAATCCCAACAGTTTTATGTTCCCTGTATTCCTGGTGTTGGAGTTTCAGTTGGTTTCTTCAGTGCTGTCTTTTTTTCCCTTCAACAAAAAGCCAAATAAGCAACAACCTCTCTCTGAATCTCAAGAGATCTCCAAAATTTACAGTCACTTCAGGCATTTATTCTGATGGCTGAAAAGCTCAGGCTATTTAGAACTGCATCTCCAAATGGAATAAAGGACCTGCTGAACCAAAGCAGGTGGGTGAAGGAAGCTCTCATCTGAGACGTTGTATACAACAGGCAAAGGCAGGCAAAAGGGGAAGCTTTCATCCAAACTACTGGGTTTGATTTATGGCTACAGAAATCAGTTAAGGTGTTGTGTTAATAATTCACAGGTAGTAGCTCAAAGCTGTGTGATAGAACCTTACAGGTTTTCATTTCTATAAAATCTTTAATTTCTTTTAATTGATGCAAGAGACGTTCCTGCTTTGTACAGCACTGTTTCTTGTGCCTTTGCTGCCTTCACCTACTGCTGCAGTTCTGTTTGTTTGTTCCACCCACTTGTTGGATAGATGAGGTAAACTAATGGATGTTTTCTGCTGGGAACTGCCAGAACCCTTGGGGAGTGATATGGACCTGGACAGTCTCAGTTAGGCTCGCTGACAGTCTGCCTGTACAGAGCTGTGTGCATTCCATGTCCGTTCTGCAAACATTGAGACATACCTCTGGAAAAATTGCCATGAAAAATTTCCATTTTCTGGGAGCAGTTGACTCTGCCCTAAGTGGCCTTTCAAGGCATTTCATGGGTTTTAAGCTGCCTTTATGCGAAATGAAGATGGAATAACTCAATCTCGCCGTTGCAAATTCAAAAGTAGCTACTTACTTTCTAAAAACGGGATCAGAAAGCCAAATGTTAAAAATTGATTATTTTCATTGCAAGCTGAAGCTTTCTGTGGTGGAGGGTTTGAAGCACTGCCTGCTGCAATCCCACGATGGCTCAAAAAGGTGAAGAGAGGTGAAACCTTTTGTTTTTTTTGTTTTGTTTGCAGTCAAGCTGCAGCTGCAGGCGGAGGAGCGAGGAGTGGTGTCCATCAAAGGTGTCAGTGCCAATCGCTTCCTGGCCATGAAGGAGGATGGCAGATTGCTGGCCTTGGTAAGCAGCACCTGCCTGATTCTCTGTGTTGCTGTGTCCTGCCATGCTCTGTGTGGGGTGGCCTTTCTTCCTGCAGGGCTCACTCGGCTGCTCGCTCTGGGATTTATCAGGAGAAATGAGCTCAGCACAGCTCCTGTCAGTTACCTGATATAGGAATTAGGAGGAGTTGGGTATTTCTGCCCTACTCCTAGGAGCTGCAAAATTTAACAGGAATGGCTGGTCTGAAAAGGAAAAAATCACAGTGATCAGGAAATTATAAAAACAAATGAAGAGTAAAGTGTCTGCCTTTTTACCCTCAAGAGTAATTTTTTTCCCTTTCACTTACTTGCACATGAAGTGATTTTAAAAGACCTTTTTGAAGGGCAAAGTAAAACTAATTTCTTTTAAAAAATTACTTTCATGGTACTAATCTGTATAAATTATTTTCTCATATTCCTCTTTGTAGAGAATCACGGGGTTTTTTTTGGGCACTTGTACTTCCCAACTGGAAAACTGGCAAGAAAAATATTTTTGAAAATGTGATGATAAAATTTTAAAAGTTATATAAGTGTGGATAAATTAAGCTGCTCTCCGGTGAGACTAGTTTAGTTTAAACTCTTGTGTATTTTATTGGTATCAGTTGAATTTTTAACTGTGTTTTAAAGCCAGTGTATGCAGCAGACTCAGATGGTTAACGTCTCTCTGAGCCAAATGATAAATTTTGCTTTAAGAGCTGAAGTTACATTAATTTTTCTTATGAGACCTAGATACTGTAAATCCTCATCCACATTTATATCCTTCAGTGCCCTGGTGAAGCACCAGGGCATCCAGCCTGCCAGAATTTTGGTTTGCAATAGCCCCTGGTGCTTTGTTTATTCACACAGCCCCATTCAGCCTCTGTGCAAGTCTGCTCCGTGGCTGGGACTAACAATGTGAATTCCTAACCCTGGCTGAACTGCAGCTAATGAAAGACCCGTGTCAGGGGATGCAGAAATTATTTCTGATTCCCTCTGCCTCCATGAAATGAGACTGAAAGTAGTTTTACAGGAGCAGGGCTCCCCAGGGCGCTCCTCAGTTCTGGCTCCAGGGAGTTTTGTGTGGGCTCGGGAATGCAGTTAAAGAACCTGCTTCAAGTTACTCGGATATTGTGTGACAGCTCAGTTGAAGAAAATGTGAGGAGTTGTCCACTGTGCTATTCTTGAGTTAAGGATAATTGGGAATTTCCTGTGGTGCTGGTGCGGTGGCATTCGGCTTCCCATTCTAATAGCACTCCGTACCCTGAGTGACGGGGAATGGTCAAAATAGGGTGTTTAGCACCATTTGTGAAATGATAAACATAAATACAGGGGTGTGTTTATATTTGGGGTTTCTGCCCTGCTGTTGCATTCTGGGTTTGCTTGTAGAATAAGTTTCCCTTGCAGCGGTTTTTGTTTGCTTAGTTCCTGTAAGGCGAAACGCTTGGGAAGTATTGCCCAGTCACTCGGAATTGCTCTCTCAGAGTGTGTAAAGTTGGGTCACTTTGTGCTTTTCACTTGAGCTTGTAAAACTCTTTTTTTCTTTGGTGTTGTTTCTGGAAATGGGTATTACTTGAATCATGTTTGCTGCATGCAACATTGTTGTTATTCAAAGGTGGAAACTCTACTCTTTTAAGACTTTTCTTCTGCAGCCAGCCTAACAAATGCTGCTGCAATTTCATGGCTGTTTTCTGTAGCACTGGCACTGCTTTTCCGTGAGGATTCCTGCACTGTGACTTCCAACAGTCTGTGGCTGGCTGTGCCTTTACCATTTTCTGCCTCTAAACACATTCATGAAACTGTTTCTAATTGCCAGCGTCTCTTGTTCATTAGAGCAGGGCTGTGTTTAACGAGAGCTCGCAGAGTGTACGCTGGAAATGTCTGTGGTGAATTGCACATGGTGAAACACTGCTGAAATTTCTTTCAAAACATTATGGAACTTTAATTTCTAAACACATAATTTAGTCCTCTAATTAGTCACTCAAGTACTATTCTGTCCTTTTTAATGTCTGAGGTTTTTAAATTACTTTTCAGTGTCCAGGATCAATTTGCGCAGAGTCCTTGTTTTGCAAATAAATTAACATTTTTAGAAACATGTTTGCAAATTCTTATTCAGGCCTGTTTTTCATCTTGTTGGATGTTTTTGTAATTACCTGCTGAGACATGCTGCAGGGTTTGTTCTGAGCTGGGCTTTTGCAGGATGATTTATTGCACAGCCTGTGCACCACTGCTGACGCCGGTGACCTGTGTGGGGGTGCAGTTGGTCGTGTTCTTGTGTGGAAATCTGGATGATGCAGCTTTTAATGGAGCATTTCCATGTTCCTTACTAACAGAGTCACTCATGGGGGAGAGGTGATCTCTACTGCTGGAGGAAATGGCTGGATGTGAATGCAGATAGTCAAAACCTCCCCTTTGGGAAATGCTCTTTTAACTGAAAATATTTGTGCAGAAATGCATCTGATCCAGCAGAGTTGCGATGAAAAAATGAAAAAAAACATTTCCCATCTGATATAGCTTATTTTGACTTTCCAGTCAAATTTCATGGAGTGAAATGTGATTATTTAATTTAATGAAGAAATTTCCCAAACTTCCCACAAAGCAGGAATTTTGACTGACTTGTATTTTTATGATAAATAATTTGTTATTTAAGGATATGACCTGTTCATTCTGTCATGCTTACATGGCTTTGCTGTGATCAGCCAGGTTTTGCCAGACTTGAAGGACTTGACTCTAAGAGAAATTCTTGTCTTTTGCTGTTATGGATTCAAATTGTGCACAATGTGAAAATAACCTGCATTTAGTTTGAGGAGAGTTCAGGTGTTTCATGAGGTGCTGAGAAAGCACTCTGGATGCAGCCTGGACTGAAGCGTATTTGAAAGGAAAAACCACAGATATCCAGAGTTTTTCCAGGTGCTGAGATTGACAGTGCAGTCAGTGGCTGACATCCTGCTTTTGCTAGACAGCAGTCCAGCTCCTGAAATGTCACCTCTGGGGGATGTTCAGGAATACACAGTTCATGAAGCCTGAGCTGTCATTTGTCACCTTAATGATGGGGTTTACATCAAAATGTTTACATTGACAATGGAGTGTAGGAAAGCACTGGTGTCACATATGCTTTGGGGAGAAATAAGAACTTTTCTTTTTTCACCCTTTTTTGATGTGCCTCTGCCTGAATTTCCAGCTTGGGCAATTGGACTGAATTGTCTGTATTCTGCTTAAAATTTTTGTTCTTAAAGGCTTCTTTTATACATTTTCTGATCAGAACAAAGAATTACACAGTAATTAAAAGGAAGTAAAAAGCTGCTTAATCTGTGTTAGAGACAATAAATGAACCATAGGTAAAAACCTCCTATTGTAAGTTTTTAACAATATTTTCACAGTAAGTATCTTTCTTCAGTTGTGAAACAGTTAATCTCTATTTCTTAAAACCAAAGGTACTGCTCACATTCTTGCTAAGTTAGTCCCTAGAATGGGAAGAATTGATTTGTGGTGCTACACCAGTAATGCTTTCTCTTTTCCCTTTTAGAAATACGCAACAGAAGAATGTTTCTTTTTTGAACGTTTGGAATCCAATAACTACAACACTTACCGCTCACGGAAATACTCGGATTGGTACGTGGCACTGAAAAGAACTGGACAGTACAAACCTGGACCAAAAACTGGACCTGGACAGAAAGCTATCCTTTTCCTTCCCATGTCTGCTAAAAGCTGACTTCCACGGCAGATTCTGAGCACCAGTGCCACACAGCACTAAAGATGTCGCCTTTCCTACTCCTCTCTGAAGTAGCCAAATATAAGCAATTATTTGCTGATATTATAACTACTTTTGCAGATACCAGATTAAACCATGAATGTATCATACTGTCTTTATATTGCTCTTTAAACCTGTTGTGCCAGTGTGCATGGAGGTAAAATGACTCGCAGAATATATTTTCAGGATCAGTGACACTTTTGTTTTCTTCTAGGTACCTATGTATTTTATTTACCTTATGCTTGCTTTATGGAGTAGAGGAGAACAAACCCAATGCACACTCATAGCAATAATTACCTTTCAAAATAATTTATATCTTAGCTTATTAGAGAATAATTATGTTCTAATAATTACCTAAAAATAAGTCCACAGATAACTATAATATTCAACATTGCAATAATTCTAAATTATTACTATAGGGAAATGTGAAATGTATTGCTATCATGTCATGTTTCTGTAGGGCTCGGGCAGCTCCCTGTGGTAGAGCTTGTAGACCAGGCCTGTGTAGACAGCTGGGAACTCCCTCATGGTTATGTCAATCCTATCAAACCCCTCCCGGTACCCGAACAGTAAGAGCTTGGCCACGTTGCTGGTGATGGGTGTGGTGTTTTCCGTCCTGGCCAGCTGCTCCAGGTCCATCCACTCGCAGCGGAGGCACTCGTGCTGGCAGAAGCTGATGCGGAAGGAGGTGGGCTCCATGCGGCAGATGATGTACATGTCCGACTTCCCGAAGGCTCCGGGGTGCTTGTGCTGCTGCCTGATGCTTAGGATGGACTTGAACTCTGACTTGATGCCAGTCTCTTCAAAAACCTCTCGAACTGCTGTGTCTCCTGGGTGGAAAGAGCAATCCTTGCAGTACATCTGAGAGTACTCAGCATCCTTAAACCTTTTGGAAAGGTGGAAAGCCTCTTACTCATCATGTTCTCTATTCTGCTTCAAAAGGTTTTCAGAATGTAGGTGTGTTTTTCCAACACAAGGATAAGCTAATATTTTGATTCCCAAACAACAGTAATCGCTGTGTGCCTTTCCTGTGTATATCCTACAGAATGCCTTTGGTAATGCTGTGCAGGGTGTGGTTTGTAATGGACACTGATGGCTGCAGCTCCAGTGATCTGTTAATCCAAGACAGCACTGCACTGTCTTTGCAGTCCTTTGGATCCCCATCCCTCTCTTTGCCCCTGCCCAGTCTCGGGTTCAGATCCTGTGCAGCTGCACCTCTACTGATGTCAGACCTGTTGATCAGATCAGTTTCACTGCACTTCACCCCAAGGGGTACCAAAATGGGTGGAATTCTTTTCAGAAAGTGAAAGTTGGTGCCAGATCCTTTTCAAGATGTACCGTAAGAGTCAGGTGACATTTCAAATATGCCACAGCAGCAGTGCAGCCCAGAGCCTGTTCTTGCAGGAAACATGCTGTAAACATGCTGCATCTGTGCTGCATGTGTGCATTCTGTGTGCCCCAGCCAGAGTGAGGTCAGGGCTAACATTCCTCACCACAAACGCAGCAGGAGCTTTAAGGGTCTACAGGGTCTGTGTGCTGCCATTACAGCCAGAGAACCACCCACCCATCCAGGACTCCTCCAGAGATATTTTTCTCTTCAATAACAAATTGAAGAGTCCCTAAGAAGTTTGTTAATATTCCACTGATTTCCTCGAAGTCTGCAGTTTCATTGTAGTCAAATCCTACTTGTCTGGGGTAGGATTAATACTGGTAGGTTAATACTGGCTTTTCCCAAAATGTAACCTCCTGGTTGTCTCTGGTTTAAGTGGTCAATGTCCAGAACTGTTGTGCAATGTTACCTGCTCCTGTTAGTTCATTTTCAGACTTGCTTCCAAAAGCAAATGCATTTTAAAAGACTTGTAGAGATTCACCATCCTGTGGAGGCTTGCACCTTGCCAAGTCCGAGGGGAACAAAGCAGAAGATTCAGGGGTAGTTTCAGATATTGGAAATAGAAACTCCCTGTGGCAGGTGGCTTTGTTAGTGGGCAGGGGGCTACAGAAGTGAACTGAGATCATGAGAAACTGAGGCAGGCTGTGGTTAAGAAATTTGCAGTAATGATGGATTTCATTTAAGCGTTGAGCTTTGCTTTCAGATGAAGTGCCATTTTCTGTTTCCCTTTTATTTAAATGTGAGTGTGTATATATATATAAAAATATCTAATGACAATTAAACTAGAAGAAACACTAGGGCTGGAGTTTCAGAAATGTTCAAATACAAAAATGTGTGCACTTTGCTTAATCTGCATTATGAAATTGGTGTCACTTGCATAAGTCAGTTTGCACTTATTTTAGTAGGCAGCCAAGCATGTTGTCACTTCATGTAACTGAAGGATTTTAAGCAATGTAATTGCAATTTTTAATTGTAATTTAAAATTTAGTACCATGAGTGGCTTGTGTTTTAAGGTTTGATGTAAGAATGAAAAAGGAAAATTAGGCTCTATTATATTTTATGCTTGACTAATTTATATCTTTTTGTAATATAATATGTGATGCAGAGAATCGTAACTTTTATTATTCTGTAGTTTAGAAGTGGCAGGAGGGAAGCTGTAGGACACTTTTGTCTTGGGTGGTTTTCAGTGCAGGCTCCAGCCATAACCTCAGCTGTTCAGTGAGGGATGGCTGCTGTTGTACTCAGCAGCAGTGTCACTCTGGGGAGTCCCACTGGAATGCCACTCCTGCTCATTTGTTGTTTCCTTGAGTACACAAGTCCTGCTGCTGCTGGCACTAGAAGTGAGAAGGAACCTGCCTAGATAAAGCCATGGCATTTGGGATTCTTTTGAAAACATGGATCCATTTCACCCTGTTACATTACATTGTCCAGCAAATACTTTGGATTTCTATCACCAGGTTTGACAGAAAGACTTAAAACATGACTCATGAGTAACAAAAACCAAACTCAGCCATATCCTGACAACTAGCAACTTTCTCCATGTATTGAAATAATAATTGGAATACAACCCCACCACACATTGTTGTGGGGAGACTGCTAAACCAGGAGGTATTTTTAAGGTATGGAACAGTCAGGAACCCTGGGCTTGACACCCAGCTTAAGAAGTAACCAGCCTATGGATAATGATTTTAAGGGCTGAGATACAAGGAGAAAAAACCCAGATTTTCTCTTCATAAACACCCCTGTTCATTCACCTGTGAGGATAAACTGCAGCAGTGTTCATCAGCTGTGCTGTGTTGGAGAGAAATGAGAAGTTTCCTCAATCCAGCATTGTTTCCTACCACAGGAGTGCTTCATGTCCCTGTTGGGAGTAGGTGCCCACAAGACTGAGGCCCTGCACTTCACCCTGGCCCTGTGCCGAGGAGCTCTTGGTCCAAACAAATCAAGTGAAGGGGGTGGAAGGAAGCAAGTGCATTTATTGGAATGGAAATTTTTCCTCAGTCCATCCCTGAGGTCACTGCCCTGGATTCCAGTGTGAGCTGAGAGCTCCCTGTTTCAGTTTTATTTGGGCTATATATGGATTACCTTAATCCTCTGCACCTCTGGCTCATATTGCAGCATATCTGACCAGCCTAGAAAAACTTAGCTGGCCTCAAGCACTCACTTAAAGAAAGTGTGGAAAAGAGTAAATGTTACAAACAAAAACTTTTGTCCTGAACATGCTACCCTGTTACCATCAGGGTCCCAGGATTGTGTCACTCCATCTATTCCCCATTAATTCAAGGAAACAATCCATCACAGGAGCAATGTGGGTCATGCTGTATTTCAGTGGTGTTCATGTCTTTGTATTTCTGTTGATGGCTGACCTGTTCTCATAGGACTTACCAATGTCTTCTCCTGGATTAGACAGACCTCCTGGAAATTTCCACGCGTTTATAGTCTGTATTGGAGGAAAAATCCATTAGTGAAGTAGTCAGCCTGTGTTGTACTCTTTAATAAGAAGGAGACAATTAACACAAAGTTTTTTTTTTTGTTGTTGTTGAAGTTGCAGTATTGTTATTTTATAAATATCAGTAAGTTGGAACTTGTTTGTTCCTGCTGACAGGATGATTAGAGACAGCTACAGGCTGTAAGAACAATGGGAACAAAACACCTACTGATTGAAAATACAAACTGTCTAACAGTCATTAGACAATGTTGCTGCTAGATAGAGTAGTTGAATATTTTTTTAAAAGCTGCTATAGACTATATAATCTTATATTTAATCACTAATGTATTCTACTTCCATTGTTTTGGCTTTTTAAAATGTATATATATTTAATCTTACAAACAGGTATTATGATTGTACTGTTCTATACTGCACTGGCTTTAAGATGTGTCTGTAATGATCATTTAGTGTAACTTGTCATTTTCATGGATACAAGAAATGAGGGCTTGTGTGTGATTTATGTATAGAAACATTTATTGACAATAAAGTTCAATATTAAAACGTGAAGTGCAGGCTTGGTGTTGTTACTCACACTGCTAAAGGAGTCCCAGTCCCTGCACCTCTGGCAAGAGCACAAAGATTTGTAGGCTTTACCTTTACTTCTATGTACTTTCTATTTCTTTCCTTGTTAAAAGTTTATGTAGGAAGAAGTTACCCTTCTCCTAGAAATAAATGCAGTAAAAAGGCACACTGGCCCAAAAAAAGCCTTTTTTGTCTATGCAGCACAGCAGGGAAGCTGTGTGCTTTCCAGTGATTTGAAACCCTAATGACTACATTGGAAAAGTATTTTTTTTTTCCTGGGCATTCTTAAAGGGCTTGGATAGGAATTTAAAGTAATAGATTAAAAATAGTGCAGATGGAAAACACATATTGGCTTTTTTCTATTGGCTTTCAGATTTACTTTTAGTTCCTGGAAATCTTTGTGTGCTGTGGAATTGTCCTGTCACAATTAAACCCAAACAACTCTTAAAATTCCAACAGCTGTTACTATTTTATTTTTACTCTCATATCTGTTCAAGATATTTACTAAGAGGTGAGCATGCACATTTATATTTTTGTTTATAAAAGGGTAAATAATAGGTATTAATGTTTACAGAGTGCTTTGTTCCCTGGAGCTGGAACCACTTTTGGAGTCTACAGCATGAGAAGTAGGTTTATGCTTTAATTGGTAATTGTTGAATGAAAGCCTGAAAGTCCTCCTAAAGCCAAGTCCTCAACATTTTAATTTACTGTAACTAAAAATATAAAATACAAAAGTGAAAACTAGACATCTTCAGTTACAGGAAACAAGTTCAGAGGAAGAGAAGTACCCTTGTCTTTTGTGTTAGAAACTCAACACGTGTTATGATTGAACCTGCCTATGAAAGTTCATTAAGTTCATTAACTTAATTAACTTCATTAAGTTCACTGAAGTTCATTAACT